TTAGCTTCAATAGCTGAAGTGTACTCCCGGCCAAAGCTAAGCTCTGTAATAGATACATCATCAAGAATGATGTTGAAGTCTTCTGCTCGCTGAGTTAGGTCTCGGCGAATCATAAGTGAAACCTGTAATGTTGAAAACCTCTAAATACAATATCAAATAAATTATTGTAGTGTTTATATGCAAGTAATCACACCTTTGACTGAAAAAAAAGAAGCAAAAATACTTCAAACTTATGTTTAATCACTTCACTGGCTACAGTATTATGTGCTAAGCTCAACTCACTCAGATAAGCTGTGAGCCATAAGATACAAGACATTGGGTCGATGCATTAAGTGTGCACTACAAAAAAATCCTGCAGCACGCAGTGCATAATGAGAAAAAACTGTGACAGTAGTTTGGTTTAAAACAGCGACTGAGGTGAATTCTTATTTTTTTTTTTTTTTAACAAGTTGGCCATCTCCCACCAAGGCAGGGTGACCCAGAAGAAAGAAAAAATCCCCAAAAAGAAAATACTTTCATCATCATTCAACACTTTCACCTCACTCACGCAATCACTGTTTTTGCAGAGGTGCTCAGAATACAACAGTTTAGAAGAATATACATATAAAGATACACAACATATCCTTCCAAACTGCCAATATCTCAAACCCCTCAAACTTCCCATTTCCAGGACTCAAGTCTGGCTATATAAAATAACCGGTTTCCTTGAATCCCTTCACTAAATATTACCCTGCTCACACTCCAACAGCTTGTCAGGTCCCAAATACCATTCGTCTCCATTCACTATCTAACATGCTCACGCACGCTTGCTGGAAGTCCAAGCCCCTCACCCACAAAACCTCCTTTACCCCCTTCCTCCAACCTTTTCGAGGGCGACCCCTACCCCGCCTTCCTTCCCCTATAGATTTAAACGCTCTCGATGTCATTCTACTTTGATCCATTCTCTCTAAATGACCAAACCACCTCAACAACCCCTCTTCAGCCTTCTGACTAATACTTTTATTAACTCCACACCTTCTCCTAATTTCCACACTCCGAATTTTTTGCATAATATTTACACCACACATTGCCCTTAGACAGGACATCTCCACTGCCTCCAACCATCTCCTTGCTGCAGCATTTACAACCCAAGCTTCATACCCATATAAGAGTGTTGGTACTACTATACTTTCATACATTCCCTTCTTTGCCTCCATAGATAACATTTTTTGCCTCCACATATACCTCAATGCACCACTCACCTTTTTTCCTTCATCAATTCTATGATTAACCTCATCCTTCATAAATCCATCCGCTGACACGTCAACTCCCAAATATCTGAAAACATTCACTTCTTCCATACTCCTCCTCCCCAATTTGATATCCAATTTTTCTTTATCTAAATCATTTGATACCCTCATCACCTTACTCTTTTCTATGTTCACTTTCAACTTTCTACCTTTACACACATTCCCAAATTTGTCCACTAAGCTTTGCAATTTTTCTTTAGAATCTCCCATAAGCACAGTATCATCAGCAAAAAGTAACTGTCACTTCCCATTTTGTATTTGATTCCCCATAATTTAATCCCACCCCTCTCCCGAACACCCTAACATTTACTTTTTTTACAACCCCATCTATAAATATATTAAACAACCATGGCAGCATTACGCATCTGCCTAAGACCTACTTTTACCGGTCGTATTTTTGGTTTCTTGGTCTCATTTGACAGAATGGAAGATATACATGTATTACAGAAATACTGATGATTTTGATTTTTTTTTTAGAACTGAAAATAGCTTGAAACTGAGCTCAATGTAGCAGAAAGATTTGTTTTTTGCCAATGTTCAAGAGTAAACAAATCAGTCATGCATCCAATACACGTCCAACCGGTGGGTCAAGTAAGCATTCACGAATGCACTGGTATTATTTATACAATTATTACGATACTGCATAACAGTAAATTTTTTTTTTGTTTGAATAAAAAATCAAAATGGGATTCATGTGTAAAGCCTGGAAACATAACTGAGGAAATTTTATTTTAGTGCCAAGAATGCCTGAATTGTTTATTCTGGACCCTATTTTGAAATTTGTGTGAAACTGGCCAAATTACCAATTTCTGATCACACTATTGGGTAGTTGAAATACTACTTGATTGGGCGATTTCTTGTGTTCAGTCGATAAAAAAGATATACAGTGGACCCCCGGCTTACGATATTATTTCATTCCAGAAGTATGTTCAGGTGCCATTACTGAACGAATTTGTTCCCAAAAGGAATATTGTGAATTAGATTAGTCCATTTCAGACCCCCAAACATACACGTACAAACGCACTTACATAAATACACTTACATAATTGGTCGCATTGGGAGCTGATCATAAAGCGGGGGTCCACTGTACTAGCAAAAGAGCTAAGAATTTGGTCGACTGGAACAATGCAAATGGCCTTAACCCCTTAACTGTCCAAAAGCAGATCTACGCTGTTACCACTAGCACTCCGAACATACATCACCGTTTTATTTTGCCTGCCTTCAGATTTGGAGAGAGAGGCCTGAGCGACCTAGATATGAATGTATCTGTGCACTCAGTGTGTGCCACATAAAAAAAATCGGGGACCCCGTGGTACCACATGGTAGCACCAGTTAGTTTCATTTCCATCTTGGGTCAACATCATGGCAAATCCCCATGATTCATTCACGCCTCGTCATATCAACACACTCTTACTCAAGGAAAGTGATACAGAACATGAGTTTAGTGGATCTGAGATCAATGTGGCCACTAATGATCAAGGAATTAGTGAAAATATTGACAATAACCCAGATGACCCACAGCCCATCACCTCGGGTGGCTAATGTGGCCATGCCAGACCCTCAGCCAAGCACCTCTGGGGTGGCCAGTATTACTACTCAAAGGCAACTACGCAAATGGAAATTATCGTTTTCTGTCAGTTTTGGTTGACAATAGTGAAAGTGATACAAGTGATGATGAGAATGATTTCATACCCTTAGAATTTTTGTCAAGTGATAGTAATACAGTGGACCCCCGGTTCACGATACTAATCCGTTCCTGAGAGCTCATCGTAAACCAAAAATATCGGAAAGCGAATCAATTTTCCCCATAAGAAATAATGGAAATCAAATTAATCCGTGCAAGACACCCAAAAGTATGAAAAAAAAAACTTTTACCACATGAAATATTAAGTTTAATGTAATAGAACAGTAATTACAATAACAACAATAACAATAAATACGTAACAATAAATAACGAAAGAATAATTGACACTTACCTTTAATGAAGATCTGGTGATGATTGATGGGATGGGAGGAGGGGAGAGTGTGGATGGTGTTAGCATTTAGAAGGGGAATCCCCCTCCACTAGGACTTGAGGTAGCAAGTCCTTTTCCGGGGTTACTTCCCTTCTTCTTTTAATGCCACTACGATTCTTAAATGTTTCAAACCAACCTTTGCTGGCCTTAAATTCACTCACATCACCACTAGTTGCAGACAATTTTTTTATCAAATTGTCATGCAACTGCCTAGCCTTTTCACAAATGATTGCTTGAGAGATGCTATCTCCTGCTATATCTTTTTCATTTATCCACACCAATAACAGTCTCTCAACATTTTCTAACACTTGCGGTCGCTGTTTCGTAATCACAGTTGCACCTTTTGCAAGAACAGCTTCCTTGATTGCCGTTTTCTTGCTCACTGTAGTAGAGATGGTTGATTGGGGTTTACTATACAACCTGACCAGCTCCGACACACGCACTCCACTTTCGTACTTTGCAATTATCTCTTTCTTCATTTCAACAGTCATTAGCACCCTTGGTCTCGAAGGGTTGGCACTGGGAGCTTTCTTGGGGCCCATGGTAACTTTTTTATTTTTTTTTTTTTTATTATCACACTGGCCGATTCCCACCAAGGCAGGGTGGCCCGAAAAAGAAAAACTTTCACCATCATTCACTCCATCACTGTCTTGCCAGAAGGGTGCTTTACACTACAGTTTTTAAACTGCAACATTAACACCCCTCCTTCAGAGTGCAGGCACTGTACTTCCCATCTCCAGGACTCAAGTCCGGCCTGCCGGTTTCCCTGAACCCCTTCATAAATGTTACTTTGCTCACACTCCAACAGCACGTCAAGTATTAAAAACCATTTGTCTCCATACACTCCTATCAAACACGCTCACGCATGCCTGCTGGAAGTCCAAGCCCCTCGCACACAAAACCTCCTTTACCCCTTCCCTCCAACCTTTCCTAGGCCGACCCCTACCCCGCCTTCCTTCCACTACAGACTGATACACTCTTGAAGTTGTTCTGTTTCGCTCCATTCTCTCCACATGTCCGAACCACCTCAACAACCCTTCCTCAGCCCTCTGGACAACAGTTTTGGTAATCCCGCACCTCCTCCTAACTTCCAAACTACGAATTCTCTGCATTATATTCACACCACACATTGCTCTCAGACATGACATCTCCACTGCCTCCAGCCTTCTCCTCACTGCAACATTCATCACCCATGCTTCACACCCATATAAGAGCGTTGGTAAAACTATACTCTCATACATTCCCCTCTTTGCCTCCAAGGACAAAGTTCTTTGTCTCCACAGACTCCTAAGTGCACCACTCACCCTTTTCCCCTCATCAATTCTGTGATTCACCTCATCTTTCATAGACCCATCCGCTGACACGTCCACTCCCAAATATCTGAATACATTCACCTCCTCCATACTCTCTCCCTCCAATCTGATATCCAATCTTTCATCACCTAATCTTTTTGTTATCCTCATAACCTTACTCTTTCCTGTATTCACTTTCAATTTTCTTCTTTTGCACACCCTACCAAATTCATCCACCAATCTCTGCAACTTATTTTGCAAAAACAGGCACCAAAAACAGTGATAATATGGATAATACGGAAAGTACCGAATGTATCCTTAGATGCGCACACACTGGCTGGCTTGTAAACACTGGCACACACCTGGCAGTTCAGGCCACACATGGACACGTCTCGTACGAACCACATCGCATACCGGGTTTTTTATCGGGAAGCAAGGCAATTTTTCTGCGATATAATGCATTGGTTACCGGATTTATCAGATACCGATAGCATCACGAACCGGGGGTCCACTGGATACATTATTCCCCAGTGAAGCGTACCTTCAGGCATCGTCGCCTACGTTCAGGCAGTGTGCCATATGCAGTCCTCAAGGGTTGTGGGAGATCATGATCGAAAACCCCAGCCACTGATAGTGATAGTGATCGTGAAGAATATTTGGGGATGGAGGAAGAGGTGGTGGTGACGGGTGGCATGGTGCTGTGGGTGGGCAGACAAAGGACAGCCCGGCACCCCCTCAACCATGTGCTGCCTCCATTCCCAATATACAAGAGTGTAATGGACAAGTGAAGTAGCAGCAGCAACACTCACAGCAAGAGGCATTCTTGAGCTTCCTCAGTGCTCGGGCTTCGGCCCAAAGCTGGGGTGTGGCTCTAAAAAGATCCTGTAGTGCTTTCTGCCTCTGCACCTCCTGGCCACCCCAAACACCTTTGGGGTGGCCACACCAGACACTCAGCCAAGCACCTCTGCTCAATGCCTTCAATATGTATGAAATAAACACTGGAAAATGACTTATGCAGAATTCACCCTCAATGTCATAAAGCAAATAGTAAAAAAGTATAGTACCATACCTGTACCTGCCCCTCAACAGCAACCTGTTCCCCAATCACAACCAGTGGGAGAAGTTCCAGACTGAATCCTCGCTAACTGTCACTACCTGATACCAATACCGTCTACCCCAAAAAAGAAGTATTCTCAGTAAAAGTGTTTTGTGTGTGCCAACACCACAAGGCGACCCCAACAGTGGAAGGATACACGATTCAAGTGTCAGCAATGTGGGGTGGCACTCCGTATGAATCCATGCGTCATGAAGTATCATAGAAACATAACTGGGACATGTAAATACCTTGTATATAGTTGCAGATAATAGAAGGTGAATCAGCAAGGTGTACAAAATCATCTATCAGTGTGTGTGTGTTTGTGACAATATGATTAATAATACTGTACATAATATTTGTGCCTAAACAACTCGCTATGAAATCAAAAGATCTACTATAAAATATAATTATCATATCCTAAAAACTAAGAAAATTAAAAAAATAAATGGAAAAACATGATATATTTGAAACATGTCTGCAAGTGGTAGCACTTCATGCTACCGTCAGATGAGCATCAAGTGCCAACTTCGTGGCCTTATATCTCCGTAAGTACTGACTTAAAATTTTTTTTTTTTATCTTATTACATGTAAAAAATTCCCTTTTAATTTAAAAAAAAATCAAAATATTCGAAGCACTGGGCAAGAGAACAGATCTAAGTTTTGACAGTTAATGGGTTAAATACGACTCGAAGTGGGCTAAAATCACAAATGCGTAAATATTGCCGACACAGCATAATTTGCGAAAGCATAATTTTGTCAATTTTCCATCAAATTTTGAACTTTTTATTTTATTACCTTCAGAAAGATATTCTTTACCATTTCATAAGGCAATACCCAAAAAGTTTTTTTTGAAATTCCTAGAGTGGACAAGTTTCAGGTGGGGTCTAGATAGTGAAAGGGTTAATCAGCGATAAAAAAAAGGGTGCAAAACGTATTTTGCCTCGCCAAATGTATACTGTACTTGAATTCTTATTTAATTTTACAGTGTATGTACTGTATAACAATTTTTTTTTAGTAATATTTTTATTTTAAGACATTTTATTACAAAAATATAAAAATGAAGTTGCTCTTTTTTAACCCTTTGAGGGGTCCATCCCATAGTTCAATTGCTTTGAAGACAGGGTCCAAGCCATAGTACTATGTCATGAGCTCAGCTCGCTCAGGTAAGCTGCGAGTGGTAAATTTGGGCTTAGATATAAGAGAATTCGTCTGTGTGGTAAGTGTGCACCTTATAAAACAAATCGTGCAGCATGCAGTGTACGAGGAAAAAAAAAACTGCAACCATGTTTTTGGATTAAAACAGCGACTGCAGTGTATTTCGTATGGTTTTTACGGTTGTATACTCAATTTCTTGGTCTCGTTTGATAGAATGGAAGATATATTACAGAAATAGAGATGATTTTGACTGGCTTTAGTACTCAAAGTAGCTTGAAACTGAGCTCAAATTAGCAGAAATATTCAATTTTTGCCGATGTTCTAGAGTAAACAAATCACATCACACATCCAATACATGTCAACTGGTGGGTCTAATGTGCATTCACGAATGTGCTGATATTATTTATACAATTATTACAATGTTGAATAACAGTAAATCTTCTATTTTTTTTGGTGTGAATAAAAATTCTTTATGTGAATAAACAATTGAAATGGAATTCACGTATAAAGCCTTCAAACGTAACTACTAAACAGAGGAAGTGTTATTTTAGTGCCATGAATGCCTGCACTGTTTATTCTGGAACCTATTTTGAAACTGGAATATTTTGAACGGTGTGAAATTGGCCAAATTACCAATTTCTGATCACTTTACTGGGTAGCTGATTGGGCACTTTATTGTACTCAATAGATAAAATGGAACACATACTAGCGAAACAGCTAAGAATTTGTTCTAGTGGAACAATGTAATTGGCTGAAAATAGGACTCAAAGTGGGCAAAATCGCTGATGCATCAATATTGCTGATACAGCAAAAATTTGTGAGAGCATAATTGTCAATTTTTTATCAAATTTCATAATTTTTGTTTTATTACCTTCAGAAGAAGATTCTCTACCATTTCATAATTTTTTTTTTTTAAATTCTTGGACCATGTGGGGAATTTTCAGATTAGGGGTCTGGACCCCTCAAAGGGTTAACAATACTAGATCAAATGTACAGTGGACCCCCGCATAACGATCACCTCCCAATGCGACCAATTATGTAAGTGTATTTATGTTAGTGCGTTTGTACGTGTATGTTTGGGGGTCTGAAATGGACTAATCTACTTCACAATATTCCTTATGGGAACAAATTCGGTCAGTACTGGCACCTGAACATACTTCTGGAATGAAAAAATATCGTTAACCGGGGGTCCACTGTATTTTAATTATAAAATAAAGATCTTAGTTTTTGGGAGGATGTGGAGATTGTTTACCAGTTACCAGTTACAAGGTTATTCAAGTCAATAGAGAAAATTATAGCTCCAAATATAATGGGGTAGTCAAGAGCAAGGTATGCCTGTACTGCACTATTCAAAATTGAACATACACAGTGGACCCCCGCTTTACGATCACCTCCCAATGCGACCAATTATGTAAGTGTATTTATGTAAGCGCATTTGTACGTTTATGTTTGGGGGTCTGAAATGGACTAATCTAATTCACAATATTCCTTATGGGACCAAATTCGTTCAGTAATGGCACCTGAACATACTTCTGGAATGAAATAATATCGTAAACCGGGGGTCCACTGTATTTAAAAAATCCAATATGAATGTATTTTAACCCAATTTTGGATAATTTTGAACAAGAGTATCTGGGTTATCTATCTGAGCAACCAAGTTACAGTTGGGTTCATACAGCCCTCAAAGCCTACCTAATCAGGCATCTCCTACAGTAACCTGTTTGGTTTGATCATGTAGACTTCTACCTTTATTTTTGATTACTCACACACCAGCCATCAACAAGTTAGTGACCCAAAAATAGTTATTATTCACCTTTAATCAATCATTAGCAGTTTTGCTGAAATTGCAAAGATACTGCAGTTCAAATAACCTTCTCAACTGCAACTTCCTCGCCCCTCCCAAGTACAGGCACTGTACTACCCACCTCCAGGAATAATATCCAGGTAACAAGTTTTCATGAATTTTTTCATAAATGTTACCATGCCTCCCACTTCCAGAGCACTTAGTCATAAAAATCACTATTCTCCACTCATTATGATTTACAATGTTCAAACAAGTCTGCTGAATGCTTGAGCCCCTAGTGCTCAAGACATTACCCCCTCCCTTCAATCCTTGCTGGGATAACCCCCAGGACATCCTATCCTGCTCAATCCTCTCAGAATGCCCAAATCACATCAACCTCTTCAGCCTCTAAATAATACCTTTTGTAACCCCACACAGCTGGTAGCCTCCTTGCATAATGAAGGACCAGGGTTCAATCCTCAGCATTAATGAAAATGATGGTCATGTCTCCTTATACCTGCTGCCCCTCTTCACCTATCACTAGGCAGGTACATGGAAGTTAGGCGATCAGTGTGGGTCATATCCTAGGAAAGAGGATTAGAGGACCCCAATGGAAACAACAGTCATCAATGACATACTCACTTTAGTGGGTTACCCTGGGTTACTAACACACTGGGTTAATCTATGCTCCAAAGTAACTGCATAATATTCACATCACACACCACTCACAAACATCATCTCCAATGCCTCCAGCCTCTTCCTTGCTGCAGTATTTAAAGCTCGTATCTCACACTCCAAGAGAACGTGAAGAAGAATCTTCCCTCAGTAAGTCACGCATGTCATAAGAGGTGATTAAAGTGCCAGGAGCAAGAGCCTAGTACTACTACTCCTGTATAAATTACTAAATATGAAAAGAAGAACTTCCATTTCTTCTTTTACAGGTCACCCTGCTTTGGTGGGAGATGGCTGTTGGTATTAATTAAAATATACTCATAAAAGTGTTGGTACCACTATACTCTGGCACATTATCCATTTTTGCCTTTATACATAAGCTTTCTTCCCATATGCCTCAACACCTCACCTACCTCATCTTTCACAGAAGCATATCCCAACATGTCCACTCTTACCTTTGTCCTGGCAGTATATTTTATCTTATATCAGGTGGATAATAAAACAAGGTATAACAGATAAATAATTAGACTCACCTGCTGTCTCATGGTGATTAACTGAGCTGCATTGAATTTTGCTACAACAGATTTAAGGACCTCATTGCAGATGGAGGGAAGCACCTAAAGAGAACAAAATAAGCTTAAATGTCATTGTTACATATATTATTCACATAGTAGTGCTACTGTATATATATTGTACTCTAGTATGACCCAACTTCAAATGAAATTTGACTCCTGACTTTTTTAATAACGAATTTTTACTTTTTATTAGGGATGGGATCATACCAAAATTTTTGGCTGGTACTGATACTCAATTTTCAGCCTATACAGATACCCAATTTTCAGCCTATACAGATACCCAATTTTCAGCCTATACAGATACCTACATTTTTTTTATTTTTAAAATTACAGGTACCATCCGACTTACGACCGAGTTCGGTTCCGAGAAACCGGTCGTACGTCAAAATGGACGTAAGTCGAACTTTACTACTGAATATCAACATCACATTTTTGTAATGACTATTTTATTGTTTTATTTTGGTATTTCATGTTTTACTTTACTTTTTATGCAGTTAGTACTGTATTTTATACTGTAAGGTTTAGGATAAACACTGTACAACACAAACAGTTGTTTATTTCCCAGAAATTTGGCATAGAAAACAAGGTCGTAAGTCGAATGGTCGTATGTCGAGCACGTCATAAGTCGGATGGTAGGTGTATAATGACTGTTTAATATATGTACAGTGGAACTCCGGATTTCATAAGCACCAAATGTTGTACATTTTGGATTTAGATCACTTTCTTGGCTGAAATTTTGGTCCGGATTTCGTACCTCCACCTGGAAATCGTACATATCAGATGCGTCTGCTCATATGTTTGTGACTGTCTGCCTTTGTTACTCATTGAGTAAACATCACTCTGCGCGTTCATCCAAATCATTTCGTAATTATCCATTGTTTTATGTGCTTGCAATTGCTAAATAAGCCACCATGGGGTCAAAGAAAGTTCAGAGTACAAGCCCTTTGATAAAGAAGGCGAGAAACACGATAGAATTCTTCAGTGATTCTACAATATGTACGATACTAAAGCAGCAGGAGTCGATACAGGCAATAATACCAGCCAGCAATAAAGTGTAGCACTAAGACTAACAAGTAAGTTAAGTGATTAAGCGATAGAAAAAGGACGACACGAAACTAACTACTCCAATGTTGTTAAGAGGTTTATAGGGCAATGACAACATACGCCACCCTGCGCTATCTTCCACAACCCTAAACCTCTGCCAGCATCTCCTCCAGAGTAAGCATGTACTATAGCATACATACAATAACCACTTTGTCTTTACATTCTCTCTTATGCTTTTATACAAGATAAAGAATCAAACACAAAGTGGGAGTTGTCATAGTTGCTCTTTGCTGATGACACGGTGCTTTTTGGAGGTTCTGAAGAGAAGTTGCAGAGGTTGGTGGATGAATTTGGTAGGGTATGTAAAAGAAGAAAATTAAAAGTGAATATAGGAAAGAATAAGGTTATGAGGATAACAAAAAGATTAGGTGACAAAAGACTGGATATCAGATTGGAGGGAGAGAGTATGGAGGAGGTGAATGTATTCAGATATTTAGGAGTGGCCGTGTCAGCAGATGGGTCTGTGAAGGATTAGGCGAATCACAGAATTTATGAGGGGAAAAGGGTGAGTGGTGCACTTATGAGTCTGTGGAGACAAAGAACTTTGACCATGGAAACAAAAAGGGGGAATGTATGAGACTATAGTTGTTCCAACACTCTTGTATGGGTGTGAAGCATAGGTGATGAATGTTGCATCGAGGAGAAGGCTGGAGGCAGTGGAGATGTTATGTCTGAGGGCAATGTGTGGTGTGAATATAATGCAGAGAATTCGTAATTCAGAAATTAGGTGTGGGATTACCAAAACTATTATCCAGAGGGCTGAGGAGGGGTTGTTGAGGTGTTTCAGACATGTAGAGAGAATGGAACAAAACAGGATGACTTTGAGAGTATAAATCTGTAGTGGAGGGAAGGCAGGGTAGGGGTTGGCCTAGGAAGGGTTGGAGGGAGGGGGTAAAGGAGGTTTTGTGTGCGAGGGGCTTGGACTTCCAGCAGGCATGCATGAGCATATTTCACAGGAGTGAATAGACACAAATGGTTTTTAATACTTGACGTGCTGTTGGATTGAGCAAAGTAACATTTATGAAGGGATTCAGAGAAACCAGCAGGCCGGACTTGAGTCCTGGAGATGGAAAGTACAGTGTCTACACTCTGAAGGAAGGGTGTTAACGTTGCAGTTTCATAACTGTAGTGTAAAGCACCCCTCTGGCAAGACAGTGATGGAGTGAATGATGATGAAAGTTTTTCTTTTTTGGGCCACACTGCCTTGGTGGGAATTGGCCAATGTGTTAATAAAAAACAAAATTTCTTATTTATAAATTATGTAGTACATTGTTTCAATGATTTCCTTATGAAACTGATGTAGTGTAGTTAGCCTCACAAACACAATGTTTTCTCTTATAATAATGGGAAGATACATAGTCACAGCAGAAGAGAGAATGGCAGCTGCCGCAGCCACCACTAATCACAAACGTAATATTTTATTAATTTTTGAGCATATATCATGTTTCTATGTTATTAATATTGTTTATTATGTCATATTAGATGAATTGTGACAGATAAATAAGCCGCAAAGTTGATATTAGCATCATATTCAAGTATTTTGTCCTGTCTCCAAACAAACTCTCCTCTCTCCTCTCTCCTTACTGTCCTCCATATGCCAACAAGACTCTTCAATAAAGGTAAAAGGGACTGAAGTGTTCATTTATCCATTTCATTAGTTCTTCACATTTATTTCTCATTGTTTTCTGTATGTAAAACTATAGTTAGCCTTTATAAAATATATTTTTTGTTAATACTTTTGGGTGTCTGAAATGGATTAGTTGGATTTACATTATTTCTAAGGGGAAATATTACTTCGGTTTTCGTACGTTTCGGATTTAGGCCAACCTTCTAGAACGGATTAAGTACGAAATCCGGAGTTCCATTGTATAAGAGAATGCTTATTTCACAATAGATATATAATAAAAAATATTAAATATTTAGTAACTTAATTTCCTCGAGATGTTAATGTCATTACTCGTTACCTGGCCTGTTGTGATAGTTACTGGTTGTCAAAGTCACTTGTTGATAGTGTGCACCTGCCTGCCTGCCTGCCTCTCCCTCCCTTATGGCATCCCCAGGTTCCGTGAGGTCCTCTCACCATCCCTTCCTAAAACACCCCCAGGTCCCCTGAGGCTCTCTCATCCTCCCTTCCCTAACACCCATGTCAGGCTTTTGTAACATATGATCTTGTAGTATGGGCACCCTTGTGTTCGACTAACATCGGCAGTTATGTCTGTGGAAGAAATATTGGAGTATAATTAATATGTGACTTATGACTATTAGGTATCTGTGCCTGAGGCTAGTGCAGTTCATCTCGGTTCAAATTATAAAGTCAGAGCATGGCCATGCCAATCTCTTCACTGTATGTATCCACATACTCCCACAATAAACAGCAGAACTAAGAGTGATTATTTCGTTACATCATTCTGAGAGAATCCATTATCCATGCCCAGGTAGGCCATGACAGACTGGTGGCTGTAGTGTGTCCCAGTTATGGAAATATAGAAAGAGTGAGGAAGACTAATACATAAGACAAGGTACCAAATACAGTGAACCCCCGCTTAACGATCACCTCCTAATGTGACCAATTATGTAAGTGTATTTGTATAAGTGCGTTTGTACGTGTATGTTTGGGGGTCTGAAATGGACTAATCTACTTCACAATATTCCTTACGGGAACAAATTCGGTCAGTACTGGCACCTGAACATACTTCTGGAATGAAAAAATATTGTTAATCGGGGGTCCACTGTACTATAGTACAGTATTTAAATTCCTTAGCCTTGTTCTGTATCCCAGTACTTACGTCAGTCTTAAATTTCATCATATTTCACTCCCTATTCTGCAAGGTAAAGTAAAATATACTACAGGTCCGCCATCACAAATCCGGCAAACAGTTATTCGGCACTAATTTTGGCTAGCATAATTTCAAATTTCCAGGGTCACCACACCAACCTGCTGGTACTGTTTGGTGGCGCTACTTGCTGCATAAGTCATTCCAATTTCTTTTTCTCCATTTATTGTTTTAACCTGCTTACTTTTAGCCCTAGCCATAGTTCCAATGAATAATAGAAATGCTTCTCATTATGTAAAGCACCTACACAGTACATTATCCATTAAAGATAAGGTGGCTTTGAAGCCACTGTCGGTTGCCATGAGCTCAGTCTCACGAAGCAGGAGAATATGCTTTATTATTACGCTAATATCAGCACTACGGCTTATTTGCCTATCATAATTGATCTAATATGACATAATAAACGATATAAATAACATAAATTTTTTTTTATTATTATCACACTGGCCGATTCCCACCAAGGCAGGGTGGCCCGAAAAAGAAAAACTTTCACCATCATTCACTCCATCACTGTCTTGCCAGAAGGGTGCTTTACACTACAGTTTTTAAACTGCAACATTAACACCCCTCCTTCAGAGTGCAGGCACTGTACTTCCCATCTCCAGGACTCAAGTCCGGCCTGCCGGTTTCCCTGAATCCCTTCATAAATGTTACTTTGCTCACACTCCAACAGCACGTCAAGTATTAAAAACCATTTGTCTCCATTCACTCCTATCAAACACGCTCACGCATGCCTGCTGGAAGTCCAAGCCCCTCGCACACAAAACCTCCTTTACCCCCTCCCTCCAACCCTTCCTAGGCCGACCCCTACCCCGCCTTCCTTCCACTACAGACTGATACACTCTTGAAGTCATTCTGTTTCGCTCCATTCTCTCTACATGTCCGAACCACCTCAACAACCCTTCCTCAGCCCTCTGGACAACAGTTTTGGTAATCCCGCACCTCCTCCTAACTTCCAAACTACGAATTCTCTGCATTATATTCACACCACACATTGCCCTCAGACATGACATCTCCACTGCCTCCAGCCTTCTCCTCGCTGCAACATTCATCACCCACGCTTCACACCCATATAAGAGCGTTGGTAAAACTATACTCTCATAC